AAATCACAGTGATTCACATACTTTACTTACGGTGCCTACTGTTAGCTTGACTCAATTATCTATGTCTCCGATCCCGCTGGTTTTTCTCGACAGGCTTATATACTAAAAAGAGGGCGTCTAGCAAACACTCGGACATTCGCGGGGTTCCTCGATAATTCGACAAACTCCAGCGCGCATGCTCCCAGCGTCATGCGACTTCCGCTGTCGTAACAATATCTCCCCCTAGTGTTTGCTATGGAATACTTTAACTTATAGTTGAAGGTCTAAGTGCACAAAAACCATTTTAGCAGAAATCCTGAGACCAATGTTAACTATGTCTAACCCACAAATAAAGTAACTTAATAGACTCGATAAATATCATTTCTGACGCTAAACTGTAATAACCTCTTCTGATACCGAACTCATAAACTCACTGAATAGCCAATAACTTCACTACATAATCACTTATATTTATAAATAACGTACCCTCGTCCCTAGATATCAGATGAAGCTTCTCGATTTTTACATCATCATCGTTAGAAGCTTCCTCTAGCAATTAATAAAACTATAACATTGAAAACATGGCTTATGATTCCCGATTCTCTATAGATTCCCGGCACACACCATTCAATAGAAGTGCTCTCTTACTCTCTTCATTGTCTTCTTAATATCTAAGTATCCAGTTTTTGGAGTATTGAGGAAATCATGAAGTGCTGTGGAATGTGGAGGTGGTGAAAGAATAAACTGTAGTTGTTGTTTCTGTCCACTTCTATCTTCCTATTTTTAATATAACTTCTCTTGTAGACATAATGAATCCTATTGTGACCAGTACATCTTTGTATTCGGGTTGTATAACAACACTGTTTGTCATGAGGTTTTTCTGCACTGATCCACTGAATAGTTGGTTTCAAACTCATATTTTTATCTTTCAGTTGAGTGTTAGTCTATATTAGTTTTTCATCATCACTTGAGGACGTCATATCTTGGATTATCCTTTGTTGTACGTTATGCTACATCTTTACAATATCAAGCTTCTCTCTCTTCTCACAAGTGTTTACACTCTTCATTGATACACGTTCTTTGGAATAATGTGTCAGCATTTCCATGGTTCTGTTAAGGGCGATGCATGATGTTAAAGTTGTATTTCTGTAGTTTCTGGAGCGATATTGCTATTTGGCCTTTGGAATTACGAAAATTCACCAAAAAACTTCAATGCTGTAAAATCTATCCGAAATGTAAGCTTTTGTACATATAGATAATGACGGGAATGAATTATGGCTTGAAAAATAATTAGTAACTTTTTCCGAGTTGTACAATATCTCTTTTTTTGCAGCATTCATTGTTGTTGTTGTTGTTGTTTTAGTAGGTAATGACATGTTCTTTTCCATGTTGTACTTGTGGTATTGCTCCTATTGCAAAATTACTGGAATTTGTATCTAAAATGAGTGACTCTTCAGGAGGTAAGCCTGTTGATACAAGGGTAGTGGTCAATTATTTCTCCTATTTGTTGATTGTTTATTCAAAATCAGCAGCTCAAAAAAGTTATATGTTTACACGAAATTTGTGTAGAGGGCGAGTTGCGTTAGCGAATGACGATACTAAGAGCACAGTCAAAGGAATCATGTTACTTCACGCAGATTTTTTGGTGTTGGCCAATAATAGACAGGGTCAGTTTTTGATGAGTCAATAGCACTTCTTACATGCTGACTATGTGCTCCAGGCAACTCACTTGTTCACAGAAAATTTCACACATCTTGGGATTCAACTTAAGGTTCTAGGTTCTCCTTCCTCAATCAATCCAGAACTTTCCTTAGCTCATCGTAAGTATTATCAAAGATCTTTCTAGGTGTGATTATGTCATCCACGTAGATGAATACGACATTCCAGTGTAGTTCAGAGAGAGTACACTCCATTATATGCTGAAATGTAGCAGGTGAATTGCAAAATCCA